ATCAAGCTACCAATGACCTGCTTCACAGAACTGGAAAAAACCACCTTAAACTTCATATGGAACCAAAAGAGAGCCCGCATAGCCAAGTCAATTCTAAGCAAAAAGAACACAGCAGGAGGCATCACACTACCAGACTTCAAACTATACTACAAGGCTACAGTAATCAAAACAGCATGCTACTGGTACCAAAACAGAGATCTAGACCAATGGAACAGAACAGAGGCCTCGAGGCAACACAACATATCTACAACCATCCGATCTTTGACAAACCTGACAAAAGCAAGCAATGGGGAAAGGATTTCCTGTTTAATAAATGGTGTTGGGAAAACTGGCTAGCCATGTGCAGAAAGCAGAAACTGGACCCCTTCCTAACATCTTACACTAAAATTAACTCCAGGTGGATTAAAGACTTAAACATAAGACCTAACATCATAAAAACCCTAGAAGGAAATCTAGGCAAAACCATTCAGGACATAGGAGTAGGCAAGGACTTCATGAACAAAACACCAAAAGCATTGGCAACAAAAGCCAAAGTAGACAAATGGGACCTAATCAAACTCCACAGCTTCTGCACGGCAAAAGAAACAGTCATTAGAGTGAATTGGCAACCAACAGAATGGGAAAAAAATTTTTGCAGTTTACCCATCTGACAAAGGGCTGATACCCAGAATTTACAAAGAACTCAAACAGATTTACAACAACAAAACAAACAAGCCCATTCAAAAGTGGACAAAGGATATGAACAGACACTTTACAAAACAAGACATACACGAGGCCAACAAACATATGAAAAAATGCTCATCATCACTGGTCATTAGAGAAATGCAAATCAAAACTACATTGAGATACCATCTCACACCAGTTATAATGGCAATCATTAAAAAATCTGGAGACAACAGATGCTGGAGAGGATGTGGAGAAATAGGAACACTTTTACTCTGTTGGTGGGAGTGTAAATTAGTTCAACCATTGTGGAAGACAGTGTGGTGATTCCTCAAGAACCTAGAAATAGAAATTCTATTTGACCCAGCAATCCTATTACTGGGTATATATCCAAAGGATTATAAATCATTTTACTATAAGGACATGTACACACGAATGTTCATTGCAGCACTGTTTACAATAGCAAAGACCTGGAACCAACCCAAATGCCCATTGATGATAGAATGGATTGGGAAAATGTGGCACGTATACACCATGGAATATTATGCAGCCATCAAAAATGATGAGTTCATGTCCTTTGTAGGAACATGGATGAACCTGGAGACCATCATTCTCAGCAAACTGATACAAGAACAGAAAATGAAATATTGCATGTTCTCACTCATAAGTGGGTGTCGAACAATGAGAACACATGGACACAGGGAGGGGAGCACTACACACTGGGGTCTGTTGAGGGGAATAGGGGAGAGACAGCGGAGGTGAGGAGTTGGGGAGAGATAGTATGGGAAGAAATGCCAGATATAGGTGAAGGGGAGGAAGGCAGCAAATCACACTGCCACGTGTGTACCTATGCAACAATCTTGCATGTTCTTCACATGTACCTCAAAACCTAAAATGCAATTAAAAAAAAGAAAATTTTAAGTGTACTGTAATGTTATAATTAAAGGTATCATTAATAAATATCAAGGGAGCTCACAAGAAAAAATGGAGATAACAACTAGCCCAGAAAAGAAAAGCTACAGCTACGATAAAAGAAATTGCTACTGCAAAGACAGAAAGAGTTCCACAAAATTCCCAATTTCAAAATCCATTAAACAGAAAGACACTCTGGAACAAATAACAAGATAACTTTAATAATGAAACCAATCTTAGTCACCCCGTTCCATATATATAAACTTACAGGCAGCATCAACTTATACTTCTAAGATAAGATCTCTGACCAACTTCTAAACAATGTTCATATGCTCTGTGTCAAAAGGTACCTAAACATGAGGCTGAAGCTAGGGAGAAAAACAGGGCCTAAGACTATACCAGCACAGAACGAGAAGAGGCAGAATACGTAGGTAAGCCCAAAGCCAGTATAGAAATCAAAATACATATATTTAAAATTTTAATTCTAAGAAAGTGAGAGAACAATGACAAAACCACACAAGATGCAAAAAGGTGTTAAATGGTCAAATTCTACAGTTCTTTCAAGTAACATGATTTGTTCCGTATACAGCATAGAAAAACATGGAAAGCTTTTCATCTCATTCTGTGAAGGCAAATAACCTTGACACCAAACCAAAAAAAAAAAAAAAAAAAAACCCACACACACAAAACAAAATTAAGAGCTCAATCTCCTTTATGATACCACCCCTAACCACAATGACCAGGTTGGGCTTACTCCAGTAATGTATGGCCAGTGCAACATCAGTAAACCTATTAATACAACTCAGTATAATAAAGGCTAAATAAGGCAAACACTAACATACATCAGTTATAATCCTGACACATATTTTAAAAGGATTTGACAAACTTTAACACTTATTCTTGATTAAAAAAACAAAAGCAATCTCCTAACACATTGAAATAAAAGAGAAATCATAATTACTAGCAAAATATTAAAGGTACCTACCAAAGTCAAAGAAAGATAAGGATGATCATGCTCACCTTAACAAATGAATATTCTATGAGGGCCTGAGCCAATATGAAAAAATATGAATATGTAAGGTTAAAATGTTGCATGGGAGATAAAAATTACATTAGTCGTAGGTAATTATCTATAGATATTATACTTTTCAACTGAAAGCACAAGAAAATTAACAATAATTACCACAAATAATTATAAAGCTGACAAGATACGAAATAAGCACATGAAAGTTAATAACTTTTGGCCAGGCACAGTGGCTCACGCCTGTAATCCCAGCACTTTGGAAGGCTGAGGCAGGCAGATCATGAGACCAAGAAATCAAGACCATTCTGGCTAACATGGTGAAGTCCCATCTCTAATAAAAATACAAAACTTAGCTGGGTATGGTGGTATGCACCTGTAGTCCTAGCTACTCAGGAGGCTGAGGCAGGAGAATCGCTTGAACCCAGGACACAGAGGCTGCAGTGAGCCAAGATCACGCCACTGCACTGCAGCCTGGCGAAAGACTAAGACTCCTCAAAAAAAAAGTTAATAACTTTCTTACAGACTATAATAACAACACTGCAACAGAAACAAGGAGAAGGTCTCATTCAAAGGAATAAATGCTATAAATAGCTAAGAATATATTTCAGGGGAGAAAAAAGATATAAGACCAAGACCAATGTGCAGAGAAGTACAAAATTTCCTTGCAAGACATTAAAAAAAGAATGACCCTCAAAAATAAAAGCCAAGCACACAATGGTTAGATTTACTATCATAAAAATGTCAAAACTGTATTAAAAAATCAATAAAATTCCAATCAAACTGCAATTTAGACATATTTAGACATTTTTTCCCCTTTGCCTTAAAACATAATTCTAAATTCATTTAGAAAAACTGATATGTGAGACTCAACAGAAAGAACCTTCAAGAAAAAAGAATAATAAAGAGAATCTAGCATCATCGAAATATTAAAAGTTTTAAATTTAAAGATACTGGAATCAAATTAAGCACATTAGAAGAGTGTCTGTAACATTTAAAACAAAGAATATAAAAATGTCTTTTAAATAAACAAGTATTAAATAATTCCGTAAAAGGAGGTTGAAGGATGTGAAAAGGCAATTTACAAATGAAGAAAATGCTGAACAACGTGGCTCACACATGTAATCCCAGCACTGTGGGAAGATAGGAGGATCGCTTGAGGCGAGAGTTCAAGATCAGCCAGGGCAACATGGTGAGACCCCCCCCCATCTCTACAAGAAAATTAAAAATCAGCCAGGCCTGGTGGTGAACACCTGTAGTCCTAACTACTTAGGAGGCTGAGGCAGGAGGATCTCTTGAGCCCAGGAGTTGGAGGCTACAGTGAGCTATTATCATGCCACTGCATTCCAGCCTGGGTGATAAAGTGAGACCCTGTCTCTGGAAAAAAATCAGAAATAGCAACATTAAATGCTGGCAGGAACATGAGGAAACAGATACTGTCTTTAACTAATAGGAACATAAATTATCTTTTTTTGAAATGTAATTTTGTAGAACTTATTAATATTAAAATATAAAATGAACAAATGATAACTGGAACAGTGATTCCCTGTTCAGGACTCTACGCTTATGTACAAAGGGATTCACTACCTTTGTACATATTCACTACTGGCCGGGTGCGGTGGCTCACGCCTATAATCCCAGCACTTTGGGAGGCCGAGGCGGGTGGATCACGAGGTCAAGAGATCAAGAACATCCTGGTCAACAAGGTGAAACCCCGTCTCTACTAAAAATACAAAAATTAGCTGGGCATGGTGGTGCACGCCTGTGGTCCCAGCTACTCGGGAGGCTGAGGCAGGAGAATTGCTTGAACCCAGGAGGCGGAGGTTGCAGTGAGCCGAGATCGGCCATTGCACTCCAGCCTGAGTAACAACAGCGAAACTCCGTCTCAAAAAAAAAAAAGGTATTCACTACCTTATTATAAATAACATAAACAGGGGAAAAAAACTAAATGCTCAATAATGAAGAAATAACCTAAAAATTGGGGTAAGACTGGATTAATATTCAGCAGTAAATTAAAAATAAAAATAAAATAATGGTTACTGTAATTCTAAAAAAGTATGGTCCTATACACATATAAAACAAAGGAATCCCTAACCTGTTTGCACATATAGTTAAGAAACATAGATACTGTAAGTCAAAGGCTTATGCCAAAATATTGTTTAATAAATACCTTCATATGCTATCATACATAAAAGACATTTGTAATTATTAAATATTTTACATAACTTTTGAAATTAAATATAAGTGCCATTTAAAAATGAACAGCTATAGGTAATGATTAGATAATTATATAAATATTTAACCAACACTTACATAGATATATATATATATAATGTGCAACTTTTTAAACCTGACTTTTAAGATCACCTTCAGCATGCTGAAAGAAGAATTTAATAGTGCTTACCAATATCATTAATCACTGCTCTTATTTTGGAGACAAAAGGACCAACTTCACTGGAACTCATTTTGGCTCTTTCCTTAAGGTCAGCACCTGCAAAATATTTTATTTACAAATATAATCTAGTTGTAAACAAAATGTTAAGGCAAAGAATTGAAAATTTACTTAAGATTAATATATAACTTCAAGATCAACCTAATTCATCTTTTAATAGAATGACATTACTTGTTTTCCTTCCCAATGGCCATATCAGCAAGAATAAAGTATTTGTCTATTCACATGTCTACCATGGGCTTAAAGCAGTGCTTCTCCAGCTTTCTGGTCTCAGACCCCTTCACGCTCTTCAAGGAAGACACTATGGTTGGCATCTACTGATCTATAGTTACTCTATTAGAAAACAAAACTAAGAAATTATTTCAATGTTTATTCAATTAAAAATACAAATGAACCCATTAATGTTAACATAAATAACAACAAATTGGTGATACAACCTTGCTTCTTGCAAAGCTCTGTCAGTTTATCTACCACTGTTTCTGCAGTGATTAGCACTAATGCCAACCCAGCAAAAAGGGCAGATCACATTTCGGTCAGTCCCTTTGACTTCATGGATGCCTGCCTTGGGGACTGTCAACCACATGGGAGAAGTGTAGATTTAAAGTACTAACAAACTGACAATTTCATAATTATGACTACCACAGAATCGTAACTTTGGAACAGAGAAAAATAAGTACATGGAATTCCTTAAGGGATCATTAACTCTGAGATCAAAGATAAGATGGGTCCCCAATTAAACAAACAAACAACAAAGTAAAATTCCAGCATAGAAGGCATACACTTAGCTATTTACCCCATTAGTCTATTATAAATCAATCATGATGATATATAGTATCCTAAGTAAGGGCTGGGGCAGGGGCATTCTGATGTCACACACTTTCACAGGGAGTGAGAACCAGAGTTGACAAAGCACATATCCTAGCATCCATCAGGTCTTAGATATGTATATCCTAGAAAGTCTCTCACATACACAAGAAAATACATATAACTACATTCAAGGGAGCATATAAAGACTAGCAAAAAAAATGGATATTACCTAAATATCCATCCACAGGATATGTGGAGAATTAACAAAACAAGGACATAAGTATAAACAGAATGTTACCTGGGTAGCATGAATATGAAAGAATTACAGTAAATACAGATAAATCTAATGAATATTAGTGAAAAAGCGTAATTACAAAAAGATACACAGGATAATGAACATAAATGTTTAAAACAATAATGCTGTTCAGGGACATAAAGCACACAGAAATTATAAATTCAGTTGGTGGTTATGGGGGCTGGGGTGGGACTGGCAATGAGTACACAGAGGACTTCAGTTTTGTTTGTAGCACTCTATTGCTCAGGTTGGGTGGTGGGTGCTAAACATGTGAGTCTTTAAGTGTTCTGGGATGCCTGTTATGTGTCTTCACAGTTAAATTTTCCATGAAGAAATGTAACAAAGAAAAATGCTGGCAAAACCCAAAACAAGTAAATGTTTTAACTTGGTGTCAAACTCTTCTTTAAGGCCCTATTTCTCAGTTCCATTACTTCTTAAATTTAAATCTTTTACATTTATGACCACTCATCTCAAGTGAGCCATTCTGCTGCCCAGCAATCTTACTGTGTTTCCTGAGTTCAACCACTTCACAACTTCTCTCTCGACAAATCTCAAAACCTCCTATCAATCCTACCAAAAGCCAGAAAAGAAATTCTACTTCTACCTACCACCAAAGCTATCCACCCAGGACTTAAACGCATACATTCTGCCCTGACTCCTGTTACTATGAATGGACTAACTCATTGACAGTGACAGGAGACAGACAAATTCCTAGGCAGAAAGGGATGGGTTCCCAGTGAAACTCAACCTTCAAGCCTAAGATAGTTTAAAGCCTAAAAACTGAGCCGCTAGTTGTAGAGAGTCCACAAGCAGAGAGAACTTCTATCCCCATATTACCCTCACTCTCTTGATTGGTTCCTTCAGGATGATGCCTTTTAACCAATCAAACAGTGCTTTTTCCAGGCCCACCCAGGGACCAATCAGCACACACCCCCCCCATTCTAACCCATAAAAATCCCAGACAGCCTCACAGGCAATTACCCACTTTAGGTCCCCTATCACAGCTGAGAGCTTTCTTTCTGTCACTCAATAAAAGTTTTCTCTCCCTTACTCTCTGGTGTCCACACACCTCATTCCTATTGGTCACGGGACAAGAATCTGGAACTCGTGGAGCTGTGGGTGACAGGAATGAAAGGGCTGTGACACACCACTGGCCGGCTCGCTGAGCTGCGGGCAACGAGAATAAAAGAGCTGTACCATGCTCCTCCTAGCCAAACTACAGGAGAAAGAGAGCTGTAACACATTCCCATTCACTGAACTATGGAAGTAAAGAGCTGCCACATTTCTGGGGGCCCAGACCTCGGGACTCCCCGAGCAAGAGTTGTAACACCCCTTGGGACTCCATGACTGCTGACATCTCTGAGTGTTTGGGCGACACCACATTCTCCTTATCTAGACACCAGCACCCAACACAGAAGCCATTTGTGGCATGCCCAGTTCAGTCTCAAGCTGAGCGTGGAGTCGGAGCAGGTACAGGACTCCAGTGGGCGTAAGCCAAGCACAACCTGCCAGGCCAAGTGGGTGGGAAACCCGAGTGAGGCCTAGACAGAGAGGTGGCAGCGGCAGCAGAGATTTCTGGCTGGCAAAGTGGCACCAAAGGAATCCTGTAACATCATGAGGGAGGCCAATCCATCCCCTTGTGCACCAGATTCAACCCCTTCTAATCTCCTTGGGGACATCACTCACTCCAGCACTTAAACTCTCTCCTTGGCTGGCACCAATATTACCCCTCCTTAGAGATTTGTTGCCATCCGCATACAGCAATAATGTAATACTGACATCTTAAAAAAAAGCACTCACATAGACTTCCACTATTAGCTATAATGGAACAGGTTATCATCAGACCAATTCTTCCATGAAACACTGGAGAAAATATGTAAGACAGCTGCTTGAGCAACTAAGGCAGCCAGAATGTAAAAGGCTGGAAAGCCAGAGAAGGGAAACTATGGTAAGCCTCTGCTTTCCCCCCAGGACATACACTGAGTTATAAACTGGTTGGGGAAAGAGAATATAAGCACCATAGCAGGAAGCAGCAGCTCAGAAATCTCTGTAATCTCCTGGAACTGGGGAGACAAATACTGGCAGATTACTGGCTCAGCCAGAACTTTGAAGCCAAGATCCTGGAGAAGAAGGAACTACAAACAAGAGAGCCCACTAAAGGGACTCACCAAATTAATGAAATAAAGGTGAAATCATACACATTTTCATTAGTTGCAGAAAAAGAATTTGATAAAATTCAATATCCATTCCTTAACATCTTCACTGAGGAAGAATTTACATAAAATAGAGTTCCGTCACTTTAAGTATAGAATTCAATGATTTTTACTAAATTTATAGAGTTGTACAATCATCACCTCAATCCAATTTTGGAACACTTCCATTATCACAAAAAAATCTCTCATGCCCATATGAAGTCGCTCCCTGTTCCCACCCCAGCACCATGTAACCACTAATCTATGTCCCTAAAACTTGGGCTTTTCTGGACATTTCCTATAAATAAGTTCATACCCTATGTGGTCTGTTCTGTTTTCTTTCATATGGCATGGTTTTCAGGTTCATGCATGTTATAAGCAGTAAGTCCTCCAGTGCATGAACATACAAATGTTTTGCTTATCCCTTCATCAGATGACAGATATTCATATCATTCCAAATTTTGGGCTACGATGACTAATGCTAGCTAATATGGACATTCACTTCAAAGTTTTTGTGTGGACAGATGTTTTCATTTGTCTTGGATAAACACAAAGAAGTAGAATTGCTAGGTCATATAGTACATTTTCATTTAACTTGGAGAAAAGAAAAAAAAAATCCTGCCAAGCTGTTTTCCTAGGTTGGCTGCGCCATTTCACATCCCTACCAGCAACGTATGAGGGTTTCTGTCTTCCTAGTCATGAACAATTGTCTGTCTTTTTTATGGTGCCTATTCTAGTGAGAATGAAGTGGTATCTACAAGGATTTTAATTTGCATGTTCCTAATACTAATGAGATTAAACACTTTTCATGTCCTTATTGGTCATTGAAACAGCTGCTCTAGTGAAATGTTCGTTCAAGTCTTGCTCATTTTTTTAAACTATGTAATTTGTTTTCTCCTTACTGAGTCCTAAGAGTTATAGCTTAGATATGAGCCCATTCTAAAATATAAGATTTACAAATATTTTCTTCATTTATGGGACTTGCCTTTCACTTTCTTGGTGATTTTTGAAGCACAAATTTTAATTTTGATTAGAATTCATCAAAATTATCAAATTTTTCTTTTATCACTTGTGCTTTTCCTGTAATAAAAATCAACACTAATTCTTGATTAAACTATCTTAGCAAACTAGGAAGAAAAGCTGATTTTTATAATAAAAAGCAATTGTAAAGTACCTATAGCTAACACAATGGTCAATTACTAAAAGCTTCCTCCCAGGGACCAAGAAAGAGACAAGGGTGTTCCCTAACACTTTTAAACACTGTAATAGATGTACTAGTGAGTGTGATATGACCAATTTAAAACATAAGGATTGAAAGGTATAATAATAAAACTGTCATTATTAGCAGATGACTTAACTGTATTTGAAGAATAGCCTGAAGAGCACGGTGGCTCAAGCCTGTAATCCCAGCACTTTGGAAGGCCGAGGCGGGTGGATCACGAGGTCAAGAGATCGAAACCATCCTGGTCAACATGGTGAAACCCCGTCTCTACTAAAAATACAAAAAATTAGCTGGATATGGTGGCGCGTGCCTGTAATCCCAGCTACTCAGGAGGCTGAGGCAGGAGAATTGCCTGAACCCAGGAGGTGGAGGTTGAGGTGAGCCGAGATCACGCCACTGCACTCCAGCCTGGGTAACAAGAGCAAAACTCTGTCTCAAAAAAAAAAAAAAAAAAAAAGAAAAGAATTAAATTTAGTAAAGTTGCTGGATATAAGCTCAATATACAAAAATCAACTGTACTTCT